CACTTTTAACAAAAGAAGTTACAGAATAAGAAAAGATTAATGACAGATATTAAAAAAAACCTAATTAAAGATAGTTTTAAATAAAAGGAGCATAGCTTTCGAGTTGACCATATGGTTGCTAGAGAGTGTACCATAGTTTGTGTTCACGGAAGGTTTATGAAGGTTCAACTGTGATATGGGACTGAGCCCTTTCAGTATCACATTATACCGGACCGCGGGCGCACATGCTGGATTTAGGCCTTATCACAGCTGTATAATAGCCCTATAGATATCTCGTAGGAGTGAGATAACTGCAGTCCTCAGTTCTTTATTTCTAAGACAGTAGATCAGAGGATTAATCAAAGAACTGATGCAAAATAACAGTTTACTTAAGTGGAAAATATGAAAGGATTTTATGGTAAAACCCCGGATTAGCACAACGAACAAAGCACAACCAAACGGAAAGTAACAAATGGCTGACGTAGCAATCACATAAGCCATCGTAACAGCAAGTTTTCTTTGACGGTATTTGGTCGTGTTTGTAGTCTCTTGAGCTCTGATTGAGCGGTGATGACGGCGAACCAAAGCGAAGATGCGAGTGTAGGTAAAAATAATGATGACCAGCCCCATGGCGAAAATGAATCCAATGATAGGAAAACGAATAAAGTTAAAGAAATGAAACAGTGATAAACAGCTGAAAACTGCTGCCACAAGCCACAAGACAAAGATGACTTTTTGGATTCTTTTCTTTGATACGATTACTGGGTATTTGAGGTGATAGAAGAGAGCGATATACCTCTCGACGCTCACTGCCACCATCGTCCCAAATGATACGGAATTAATCAGCCAACCAACACACGACAATAAGCCATGGAATGGGCAGGAATGAAGAGCAGAATCACTGATAGTCCAGGCTGAGAATAGAGGCAAGAATACCAGACCATTAAGGAAATCAGCGACGGATAAACAGCTTATCAAGAAATTTGATGTTGTTCGCAGCGACGGTCGACGAAGTATCACTCCTAACACTAGACCATTACCGATTATTATAAATGGTATCAAAATAACTGATGACAAAAAGGTAGACAATCTGAACCTGTGGCTGGTGAGGCGAAACACTTCCAAAGTTTGAATGTATTCGGTGGTCAGTAGGAAGCATTTGAATGAAGCGTTGCTGTTGCTATCGTTTGCCATTGGACTGTATTGGAAGCACAACAACACCTGGCTCTTTTTAGCTGAATACCAATTATTGTCTTTTTGTTCAAGAGAGTTCCTGAAGATAATAAAAAGGCCTTAGGGTTTTTAATAGATCAAAAAAGGATCGGCTCTGCCAGCAGAGTACTATAGTGTGGGAGACAAGAAGACTTTCGTAAAACTCAACATTATTATGAAAATAATAAATTGAAAAGAACTAGTCGTAAAAGCCATTTCCAGCGAACAAACAAGTGAATAGGATTTACTTAGACATAGTGTAAGTGAGATTTTTACTGAACTTACCGATGACGTGCTAGTCCTATAGAGAATCGAAGTAAACGGATGAAGCAAAGATCAATGAATGAATAATTTCTAATCCAACTATCGAAAGCTTCGTAAACTTTCGTATTTTCAAAATATTCAAAAGCGAATTTCGTATAAATTGAAGTTCGTATGGAGCAGACGACGTAAAACGATTCATAAAAGATCAATATATATCTATCTGCTAACACGATTAATAGGCGAAAAATTTTCGAAAAATTCAGAACCCAAATAATATTAATTTCTTTCGTATGCTTCATGTATCCGCAAGTTAAGAAGGGTTGCTAGAATTATGAAACCGAAAAAAATGTAGATAGAAAATACGGTAACGTAGACCGTTGCCTGGTAACAGGGATTTGCACCTTTTGAGTTTTAGAAAGCGATTTTTTTAAAGATTTGATTTAGTTTACGGTTTAATATTAGATAAGACTCATAATTGCTTGGACGTTATCTAAACGCGGGCTACACTCACAGGTCGAATCCTGAAACAACCTCTGGGATTTGTCACAGATTTACTGAGCTTTTTCAATGACTATGGTTTTAGCTTTCTCGTCATATCTTAGTTCAATCCCCTTCAATCTGACTGCATAAAAAGTACATTTTTCGGAAGAACCAGTTGAATGAGGCTACCTCCTTCACAACACATAACCCTCAACTTTCATTCAGTAGCTTTGTCAAGACTGTGTAACCATAAATTTGCGACCTCATGCAAAGACCACTCAGTGCAAAGTCAGCTTTTAATGGAATCTGTTAGAGCCTATTAGCAACTAGTCCTCGAGCACAATTGGGTATGAGTCAATTTATAGCCCATGAAGGCGAAGGCCGAATGGGATATTGACTCATAGCTCATGAGGGCGAGAGGACTAATTGTTTTAGTCAAATCCAACTAGTCGGTCCAATATTTAGATGCAAGCAAGTCTTGAATTAAAGATTGGATTTCAAAGCCGGCACTTTTAGGGATGAGGGCAAAACAATTATCATCTCACGGTACCCGATTTAGAGGGGAGGGGTGGTGTTACCCGGTACCCACCACCTCTGGAAGGGAAACCTTAGATTTCCCCCCCAAATATCTCGAAAACTAAAAGCCAAATCACAGAAATGAATGGACTGTCCGTCTGCATGTATGCTAAAAAACATACTTGTGTGTAGAAATTGCCACTACAGACCCCCAGTATGGAGCATTTGAACAGGTCTCTTAGGGGAGAGGGGGTATGTACCGGTACCCACCACCTTAATTCATAAAATCGGGTCCCTATTTTGGACCATTGTTTTGACCTCGTCCCTTAGCTACTAGTGRGCTTATCCAATATGAACGCAGCATTGATGTTCGGCCGCTAGTTGGATTTGACTAAAAGATTTTAGTCTGTGCGCAGCGGGGAACTACAAAAGGAAATCTCCAGAATTCGGATTGAATGAGGATGACTTCTAAGACCTTCTAAACAAGTAGTTTATCCTTCTTAATTTCTTTTTATCTTTCTACTTGCTTTCAATTCAATGTTTCTTTCTTTCTTTTGCTCTCTTTCTTAATTTCAAACTGAACGACAGAAAATAAGCTAATTTTTAAAAAAGGCTCGGCCCGTTGCTGATAAATTAACAATATTTTTAGTGCCAGGTGATTTGGAATCTAGGCGCGCAATACATTGTTTGTCACTTTTTCTCAATATAATTAAATTTCCAAGTATTTTCTATTATCTTCTCAAAACGAAAATTTTTCACCACCAACAACAAATACTATTTTTAAAAGATTATTTTCGCGAGTAAAAGATGTTGTCTCTCGAGCTGAAATGCCTGGAACTAGGAAATATTAAGCTTTAAAGAGCTTTGAACCAAATGTTCGCTGATTAAGAGAGGCGAAATCATCTGGTGTAATTTTTTTCCGCTTATGCAGTTTCGTCAAGATTTTCAATTTTAATTCCAATTAACTTTTAATATTTTTCTCTGCCCAGCTGTTGCCTTATTATTATTTACTTTGAACGTGTATTTTTATTTTTTCTAATACRAACAGAATAAATCCTGTAAGCCCTAACTTCGCCATTAATGTTCAAGAAAATTAAGGTGGAAAACAGCTGTTAAAAAATCTGATGGCAAGTTTCTGTTCTGTCTGATCGATGGAAACTTGTATGAAGCAAAAAGGAAGCACAACTGAACTAAAATGCAGGTTTCGAAATTATGGTGGAAAAAAACACACAAAAAAAAAAACAACAAAAAACCAAAAACAAC